TCTCTCTCTCTCTCTCTCTCTCTCTCTCTCTCTCCACTTCTTCATTGCAAGGAGCAGAGGGGGGACATGGACATGGAGCGGGGAGCATTGGATGGCGGAAATGGGGAGTGGGACGACTGGATGGCGATGGTGTTGTTCGTCATCGTGCAGGTGGTTCAGCAACGAAACATAGCCGCCATGACAGTGTTGCAGGCTGCAGCGGCACTGCCGTTCCAAGTCCCTGGTGTGGGTGAGAACCTTGCAATCATAGCTGCTGGTATGTTGCATAGCTACATGATGCAATGTGGAGTGTTGCGGTCCATCGAAGAGCTTGCGCATGGAAGAGGCAGATTGTGGGTCTTGCAACGAAGCGGAGGCGTGTGGGAGGACCTGCGCATGGAGGGGGATAGACATGACAAGGTGTTCCGGCGCTTTTGTAGACTCCCCCGTGCCTTGTTCCTGGAGATACTCGAGCGGATAGAACCCCACATTCAACGAGCGGACACGAACTGGAGGCGGCCATTACCTGCATCTTTGAAGTTCGCATGTGCATTGGGCCGTTGGGCGATGGGCACGTACTACAGACAGTTCGGACATTCTCTTGGTGTGGGGTTGGCTAGTGCGCAGCGGAGCAATGTGGAGGTGGCAGACGCGCTTATCAGTGAATATGGACATGTCATCGCTTGGCCGCAAGGCCGTCGTCTACAGGAGACATTGGACGCTTTTGAGAGGAAAGGCTTCCCGGGGTGTGTGGGTGCCATAGACTGCACCCATATCTACATAGAGAAGCCGAAGGGCGAGAGGGCAGAGTGCTACTACGATCGCACAGGCGGCCACTCCATCGTCGCTCAGGTGGTCTCTGACCACGACGGCAGGATATTGAACGTTTACGTTGGATGCCCAGGATCGGTGCATGATGCCCGCGCCCTGCGTTTGTCGCCCATGTACATTGATGTCCAGGAAGGGCGAGGCATTTTTCACAGCGGAGCATGCACCTTACGTGATGGCGGGGAAGTCGGGTACTATCTTCTCGGTGATGCTGGCTACCCACAGCTCCCATGGATAATGACCCCAGTGGGCGGTAGCTCGAGGACAGCCATGGAGCGGCAGTATGACGATTTCCACACCGCAGCGAGGTCTATCATAGAGAGGTGCTTCGGGCGGTTGAAAGGAGTGTGGCGTAATTTCATCCGGCGGCAGATCTGCAACATGAAGACCTTACGCAAGGAATTCATGGCTGTATGCATCCTTCACAACCTCATGATAGACGCGAAGGTTGAAATTGATCCCATTCTTCTGAGGATGGACTACGACAGTGACGAAGAAGCGGATGGTAGTGTGCGTCGTCGTCGTCGACTACGTAGGCGAGATGAAGTGCATAACCGAGAGGAAGGGTGGGGATGGGATGACGTGTCGCTGGCTCATAGCACAAGTACCAGCAAAGCCATCAGGGAAAGGATAATGGTGCATATTGAGCACCATGCGAGGGTGCATGGTTCTCCTCCTGCAAACCCTTGGGGTGTTTGACACACACTGTGCRTCACGGGAGAAACATTCGTTCGTTGCTTTCGTCCGTACTTCGATTTCAGTTAATGTATTTACATGGACAGTGTTCTCGGATATTGGACTTTAATTCAATTGATACTCCGTCCTTTCACATGATGTGATGGTGGGAAGGGTTGATGAGGATAGAGGGAGGAAGAGAGGTGAGCTTTTGATGACGATAGAGGGGGGGAAGAGATGTGAAACGAAAAGTTTAATTTGTGGAAGAGTTCATTCATTGAGCATGCAACTCTCTCTCTCTCTCTCTCTCTCTCTCTCTCTCTCTCTCTCTCTCTCTCTCTCTCTCCATGTACGTGCATGGCTCCGTGTGTATACATCTGTGTATACAATAATATGACTTTACAGAAATCGGCCAGGCATGAGGGCGTGTGACCATCTGTCCACCCGCGTACGTTCACACTCACGCAC